GGCCAAGCATCAGAAACATAGTTACCGTCGTCAGACCAAGCATCAGAAACATAGTTACCGTCGTCAGACCAAGCATCAGCAACATAGTTACCGTCGTCAGACCAAGCATCAGAAACATAGTTACCGTCGTCAGACCAAGCATCAGCAACATAGTTACCGTCGTCAGACCAAGCATCAGAAACATAGTTACCGTCGTCAGACCAAGCATCAGCAACACACAATGACCGTCGTCAGGCCAAGCATCAGCAACACACAGTTACCGTCGTCAGGCCAAGCATCAATACCACACATACCATCATCAGGCCAAGTATGTACAGTATTAGGTTAACATATATATCCAGCTACAACTGTTGTTAATGGGCGAGTTAATTTTTCAAAAACAAGATCAGAATGAATTTATATCTAGAGACAACGGACCAATCAACGTGTCCTATTGGAACACTTATTTAATTTAAACAATCCCTCATTTACGATTTACTTTCCACCTAGTCGGCTGTAACCAATGATTAATATTTTACCAGTAATTGTGCCGAAAAAACAACAACCAAAAACCGTCAGTTTGAGTTTTTTTTTACTCTTAATATAGTAGCATAATGTGCCTGAAAATAAATTGTTAAATTCTTGGTGCACGAACATTCTTAATATTGTAATAAGTTTTTCATGTATGAAATATAGCACTTATCGAAGCATGTTTAAACAGTGAATAAAAACGGATATAGGTTTTGTTTTCAATTTAGCGACGTCTTCTAACCCGTGGGATGTTTATTACCGAGATGATCATCACGTTTGTTAAGTTCACTGTAATGCACACACACACAAAAAGGTTGAGACAAGCTTTTTCAGGTTACTTAAATCTTAAAATTCTCACTCACGAACAGCTAAATGTGGTTTAAAGAATAAAGTACTTTCTCGTCCCTCAACCAGATGTTAAATATTTAAATCATATTCACTGTTTTAAATACAAGGAAGAATATTTTTTAAAAGTTTTCTCGACAGACTTCTTATTCCTAATCACTTTTAATAGGCTTTATTTTATTTCGGATATTTTCAATCTCGATTACAAAATATTTTAAACAGTACGGGTCCATTTTTTAATAATTAGCCTGATGAAAAACACAAATTTACTAAATCACAAGTTTTCAGCTTGATAGCAATCCTAAGTCGAGATTTACAGTCTGTCTGTCAAAGGAACATCAAGAGTTACAGTGTCAAAGGAACAACGACAGGCCAGAAGACAGAGTTACAGAGTGTCAAAGGAACAACGACAGGCCAGAAGATGGAGTTACAGAGTGTCAAAGGAACAACGACAGGCCAGAAGATAGTTACAGAGTGTCAAAGGAACAACGACAGGCCAGAAGATAAAGTTAC